CATGACTCCTAAACTAATGAAACTCAATAGAGGCAGGAAATAGCAGATTTGGCTCTGCCCAAAACGGAATTGGAGCATCAGAAGATGTGCTGAAAGAATGTTCTCAAGATTCAGAGGGAAAAAAGTAGGTAATTCAGTGAAACGAAGGGAAGAGGAAAAGAGACATGCTCTCTTTTTCAGAGCATCCCCAAAAATATATAATAACATTTCCAGAACAGATGAAGAAGAAATAAGCATGAAAATTCTAGGAGAACATTTTTCAGAGCTGAGGAAAAGTCCAAGACAAAATTGAAATTATTTACCAAGTGCCAGAAAATATTACTGCAGGGAGAAGATGTATTTTGGTCAAATTCTGAATTTCAATGGTAACTACATACTGTAGTGTGTATTTAAAAGTTGGTAAGAGAATAGATCTTACAAGGTCTCATTACTAGAATAAAAATTATAGCTGTGTGTGGTGATGGATGATAACTAGATTTATTATGGTGATCATTTCAGAATCCATTTATATTAAATATTATTTCATATACCTGAAACTCATGTTATATGTTAATTATATTTCAATTAAAACAAAAACACAACAACAAAAAGCAAAGAGACAAATGTACATAAGTGTTCTTCAGAGAAAAGAAGTCTAAGAAAAGAGAAACTGATTTGCTTCATGCTTCCTACCTGCTTACCCTAGGGCCAGTAAAACTTAGAGCAACTTCACAGAGCTCCAAAGGATATAATTCTGAACTCAAGTGCAACTCAAAAAGTTTACAACCAGCCTAATATCCACAAACAAGAGCAAAAAAATAAGTTTTAAACATGTCAGGGTTTATCAGGCAACACATCCTCTAAAAAGCACTAAAAAAAAAAATTCATCCCCAAATAAATAAAATAAGAACTAGACACATTTCTACATGACCTTGGGGGTAGACAATGATTCCTTAAACACAATAGCAAAAACACTAACGTTAACAAAAAAATTGATGAATTGGTCTACTCTACAGCAAAGGATTTTGGTCTATCAGATGATACCATTGAGAGAATAAAAAAGTAATCCTCAGAGTGGGAGAAGTTATTTGCAAACATAGGACTGTCCAAGGTTTTGACTCCAGACTATTTAAAGAATCCTAGAGTTTCATGGGAAAAGGACAGAAAACCTAAAAGTGCATAAGAGACTTGAACGTGGGCGCTTTACCCCAGAGACAAATACAAAAATGATCAAAGAACATGCAAAGTTGTTCAACCTCATAATTCATCCAATATATGCTAATTGATAGGACAATGAAATACTACCACACCCACAGAAAGACTAAAATTCGAAGACTGCAAAACCAAGAGTTTATTTTCCTTTATCAAGGAAACATTGGTTGACAACACTGCACATGATTTAAGGGAATAGCTTCACACTTCCTCAGATGTATGTCACCATACCACACCCACCATCAAAGTCTTTTACCCCAAGACATTGGGTCCCCTCTCTTCTTCATCCCCTCCCCCACCCTCTCGCAGTCTAATTCTGCAGTCATGTTTCTAGGGTTTGTTTTGAAAACCAAATGTTGATGAGGATGTAGAGCAACGAGACCGTCTACGTTTTGGTAGGAAGGAAATTAGAACAAACGCTTTGGAAAACTGTTTTGCATTATCAGCTGTGGCGAGTACGTATACCCCATGACTCAACAATTTCACACATTCAACAGAAATGTGTACTTTTTTTGCAACAAAAGTCATGTGATGGACTGTTTGCAGCAGCAATATTTTTAATAGTGAAAAACTGGAAATGCTGACCTGTCCATCAACAGCAGAGTGGATACAGAGATGGCGATACAGCCATAGGATGGGTGGATATGCAGACAGCAGGGAAAACAGATGCAGTACTGCCACACCCGACAATGGGTGAAAACAGAAGATTCTCACAAATAAGGCAGAGCCAAAAAAGCCAGATCTATAGGAATGCACATTATGCTTTTACTTACATGAAGTTCAAAAGAGGCAAAAACAAAAACAAATCAATGGTAATAGAAGTCAGGATAGTAGGTACCTGTGGTGGGGTGAGGGGTCAGAGGGCAAGATGGAGATGTGGTATTGTCTGGGAGGGGATTCAGGGCCTTCTACGGGTTCCAGCAAAAGAAACGTCCTATTTCTTGATTTATGTGATTTATGGTTATAAGCAGCTAAGGGCAAGGAGTGGGAATACCTAGAAAGTAGCGGAGCAAATGAATGCATCCGGTAGCTAATGGTCAAAATCTCATGTGACAACACACCAATGCACAGAATAGAAAGATAATGTAAAGAGAATATTATGTATGCTTTTTCAAAGGCAAGTCTCAAGAGTGTATGGCTTGGCCGTACCGTGATGCAGACAAGGATAGAGAGACTGAAGACAAGCAAGACTCGCTGGAGTTCTCCCTCTCACTTACCTCTTCTCGCTCCTCCCCCAGTGCTCCCATTCTATCAATATCTACATTCCGATGTTTCTATTAATACCTACCAAATGCATCGGAAACTCCTCTCCCCTGGGGCAGCCATCACGCTGTCTTCTGTCTTGTATTGCACCAGCTCTCCCCAATCCTGCTCCCCCCAACCCCACTGCCAAACCACCATCCTCTACTCCAACTGCTGTGAATTCTCCCAGTTTTTTGAAATGCACCTTATCACTTTTTTTTATAGCCAAACAAACAGGAGGGAAGTAAAGGACACTTGCTGTAGGGACAGGACAGGGACACTGAGCAGGTTTTCTATGATCCAGCAGACCGGGTAAAGGAGGAGAGAGTCCTGGAGCCCTCAGTGGCTTTTGCAGGTTTTTTATTTAGATTTACCAGGCACACGGCAGGCAGGGGTGCTGGGGGGGCTGGGAGGCTGGCAGTCCTCCCAGCCCCAGCAAATCCTCACTCTATCTGGGCTCTCGGCTTCCGTTTGTTCCTGGCTTCTGCTGGTGTCCCCAGGACGCTGCCCTTATAAACACAGTCTCTCAGCCCAGGTGTACCCACTCCAGGTGCCTGCCATCAGGCATGCATTCAGGACCACAGGGTTCCCTCATCTATCCTAATGGCGGGAGGGCAGAAAAGCCTGATACTTTTTCCTCACCCTACACTTGCACAGACACAAGCGGGGAGCAGACAGAGCGGCCCTGATAAAGGGACAGGTTTGCTAAAAGAGACGCATGCCTAGTTGCCTAGTCACAGGTGGGCAGCCTTGGGAGGAGAGTGCCTCCGCTGCTTTGTAAACAAAAAAGGTTGGTGAAAAGAAACACCTGCATTGTCACAGACTGCTGGAGAGCTGCTGCCCTTATCACTTTTTAAAAAAGATTTATTTATTTATGCATACAAGAGTTGGGGTGCAGGTCAGAGGTGTGGGGGGGTGAGAGGATTCACCAGAGACAGAATGGGGAGCAGAATGGGCAGATCGACTGACTGAAATACACTGCTGAGGGGAGCAGCGAGTGAGTCAAGGAGAGGTCTGACGAGCCATGTGGGTCACCACCCTGGTCTGGGATCTAATTTGGGCTACAGTGGCTGCCTATAGCTTCCTAGAACTGCAGCTTAACCCTTTGCACCACTAGCCACTAGGGTGGACCCTATCCCTTATCACTTTTGCCCCAGGCCTTCAGTGTGTGAATGACCCTGGTGGAAACACTTCAACTCCTATGATTCATGTTTCAATTTAAATGTCTGGGGAGCCTTCCTTCCTCACTTAACAACCCATGTTATTACCGCGACTATAAACTCCGACATTCCTCTGTACTTCTTCCACAGCTCCTTTATTCCTTTGGGTAACAGCACCCTGGATACCCCTTAGAGAATTTCACCTTCTCTCCTGTTAGTTGGAGAGCTTCAAATGATCTCACTCCTCGGCTCAGGGGTGAACAAGGGATCCAGGCCCCATATACGAATGTGTCCCTCCTCTCAGGGCCACAGGGGTGAGCATGGAGAAGGTCTGGACCACCCAAACCATTGAGAACCTATTGCGAGATTTTTTTTTTTAAGATTTACTTATTTTTATATACGAGCTGGGGTACAGGCCAGAGGCGCAGAAGGGTGAGAGGATTCACCAGCAGATGGACTGAAATACACTGCTGAGGGGAGCAGCGGGCACGACAGGAGAGGTTTGCCATCCCATGTGGAAATCTCCCTGGCCAGCTGGGAACCGAACCAGTGCTGCAGGGGCTGCGGACAGCTTCACAGCGCTGCACTCAACCCACTGCACCACCAGGGAGGCCCTATTGCGAGCTTTTTCTGGCACTCTTAGCAACGAGCAACTCTATTGGAGTTACTTATCTGGAAGGATGTGCACCTGAGCTGCTGGCGACCTTGACCTTTTGCTTCTAAGGGGAAGAACCCTCCGCAAGGCCAGAGTAGGCAGGCAGTGCCACAGCAGGAAGCACAATCAAGTCTAGTCTAAAAGAGGGCTTAGGAGCCTCACTTTGGGGCTCTTTTCACAATGTCACAGTTCCTCCCTGTGGTTTATGTACTCACTGATGAGTAAATGAATGGAGAGAAATGCAGATCAAACTGGGTCTTTCTTGGGGATTCTCTACCCAGTTTATTCTACATTATTACTCAGTGGTTAAGTGGATGAAAACATCGGGTTGGCTAAATTATGTGTGTAAAGTATTTTGATGGCGTATACATAATTTAAGAGTCTCTTTTCAGAAAATCCCTTATTTCATTAGTGTGACCAGTGGTAAGCGCAGGTGAGATGTGCAGTGTTAAAGATCAGGGGCTTTGGGGATATGTACAGTTTGGCTGCTGCTCTGTCATTTTTCTACTTGTGTAGCATCAAGTGATTGACTTGGCTTCTCTGAGCCTCAGTTTCCCGGTCTGTAAACCAGGGATAGTTAAGCACCACTTTAGGCACCACACTGAAGATAAAATGAACTATACATGGAAAGGGCAGAGCACTGTGTCTAGTTCATCACACAGTCAAAAAAAAAAAAAGCGTGCATCTCTTTTTAAAATAAACATTTTATTTAAAAATATATATATATATTTAAAAAAAAGAACACATGCCAACTTTGGTATTTTAGCCATTGCTTCTTTTCTCTTCCTGGTAACCCACATTTCTTTCTGGTTATGTGGAGTTCAGCAAAGGAGATCAACTTGAAAACAACACCCCCCACCTCTCTAGCTCCTTGGATGTCTGTACCCAGTGTCTCTGTTTCACCAAGGGAGGACTTCATGGCACCCAACCACGCACTGCCCTCTTTCCTCGCTGTGGGCGCACTGGAAAGTTCTCTTCCTTTGGAAAACAAGGAATAGCATGCAGGATCCCCATTGTTGCATTGCTTTTTCCTATAAAAACTCAGGAGTTGTTAAACCATCTACAGGAGACTCGTGTTACCAGTGTCCATGAGAGGGGCAGGTGGTTAAAATAGGCAGGAGACATTTGGGAATTTGTCTTAATCCACAGAGGAAAGCACCAAACACTAGAATCAGAAGGAAATTGCTTGCATGTTATTGAATCCAGAGGATTCTATTACCATTTCCCTGGCAGACAGAGGAAGTCTTCCCAGATCTCTTCCTGTCTTAAAATCATCTCCTTGGGCATAGTCTCAACTGAACCAGGGCGCCTCTGAAAGTGTGGATTCTAGAATCAAACCCTGCTCTTTAACATGACCTAGCAGCTCTCAGAACTGCGGGACTCTTTTGTGTCTCGTAATATCTTCTGTGTAAGGAAGCATCTCAACCACCTGCTGGTTTATGTGGAATTTATAGGAAAATGAAGACCCCAGGCTCTTTTCAAGGCTCCAAGTTCTCTCATATCTGATAGCAAACTGTGCCAGCAGATGGGTTTCCCACTGCGAGGGGTGCAGCACAAACCTAAGGGGGCGCCCGAGCTGTTTTCACACTGCAGCTTTTCTCCTAAATAACGGAGGTTTACCATGTGCGCCCCTCCCCCAGTAAGTGTCCCTTTTGTTTAGAAAGTTTATTACAGAGATTGAGGATGGGGGTGGGATAAAAGTTTCCTTCCTCCTTCCTTGATGTGCAAGGGACTTCTGTATATAGCAATTAAAACCAACCTTAAAACTCTCACAGATGGTTTAAGTGGTGGGAAATGTTACAAGATTTCTAAGTGATATAAGCACTGTTTGATCATAAAGACAAGAATGTTGGTGTGGGAAATAACTTTTAACTAAAAGGGAGCTCTTCATTCTTCTTTCTGGAAAAATGAGGACTTTTTTTTTTTTTTTTTAATCATAGCTAAAGGGTTTCTGGCCTGAGAACTGGGATGTTTCCCGAGTTCTTGTTTATAGAAACTACAGCTCCCAGCTCACTCAAAATCTGAACCACACTACTGAGTCAATTTGGTATTGGGTAATTGAGGACGTACATGATTTGTCCAGGTTAACGTATATGATTTGTCCAGATTAGACATCAAGTAATTATCCACTGGAGGAGTATATCTGAACAGGAGCTTTCAGCTAGGTCAGCATTTATTTCTAGAAGAACTGATAGCATTTCAAATAATTTTTGAAGAAAGAGCTGTTCTTGGATAGGTTTCTTGGTTATTGGTGGTTTTTTTTTTTTTTTTTTTTTTTTTCCTGATTAGAAAGAAATGTTCTTGAAGGGTAAAGACTACCAGTTCACAGATCCTTGACTTTTCAGGTGAAGACTCTTGGTTTCCTCATTTATTGGTGTAATGATGGCATGGTTAGGAATGACTTCTCATTTAACATCTGTGAAGCACTTTGCATGATGCAATATCTTAGATTAACAGAACAGTTCATAGATGGGAAAGTTGAGTCCCTCCCTCGCTACCTTCCTCTCTCTCCCTTATGACCGAATGTGCATCAGCTCAATAACATGGCTAGAAGCAGGGCTACTCTTCAGAGTGCTGGTTTAATGAAAACATCCACACAAAAGAATTTTCTGACTGTTGGGTAAGTGTGGACTGAAGGGACTGCAGCAGCATCAGAAATGATCGCAAACATCAGCAGGTTGTCTTACAACCGGGGTTTCAAAAGTCTTAAGAAAATGACTTTTCAGATTGGTCCTTTTCAGGCTCTAAGAGCATTAGGAGACTTCACGTCCTGTACGTCTTTTAGTCACGCCCACTTGTTATCAGAAAAGAAGACATAACTGAGAGTTTAAAAGCACATAAAATAAAAATCCCCAAGAGGAGACAGATGAATTGACATGAACCATCAGATCTCCTGCAAGCAGAAAAACTCATCAATTTTCTCCCAATTATCCCCACCTTCATCCTCTCAATCTCACATCTGAGCTCAAGAGAGAGAGAATCTGGTGCAAGGAGACGGTGGGAAAAGGTCAAGACCAATAATCCAGGAGTCTGTTCTGAGCTAAGTGTGTGGTTTGCAGTAGCAAATAGGAGCCATCTGATTTTTGTCTTGTGTGAAATGTTTCTATCAGTCTCAGGTAACATCCTAAAATGAACCCAGTGAAAATGTACAATCTTGTGAAGTACTGGGGACCCCAAACCAAGTCTAGTTCTTCAGATAGAAATACCCAAAGGAAAAAATAATTAGCACTCAGGTTAGTCTCAGAGTAGGGACACTGAGTTTGTTTCCCAAAGGAAGTAAGGGGGGAAATAACATACAAATCACACAACATGGCATATGAAGAATATGCTGACCAGCAAGCTTGTCAAGAACCAAATAAAGCTTCAACATCTAAGGGATAAACAAATGTGAGGAATGTATTATAAAGTTTTCTTCCCCATAGCTTCATCTTCAGAGAAAACACTGGTCATTTTTCCCTCTAGATTTTTGGTTGTGATGACTGACATAGAAACAAAAGGAAAAATTTACCATGCGGATCTCTTAAAGCACAGTGCAGATCAAGGAATGTAAAACATTCACGTTCCTTTTATGCTCTTCTGTAAGAGACCATGTTACCATTTCCAGCTACAAATAGTGAGGCTTTTCTGTCTTTTCCCATCCATCGTCATTGTCATGATGAACTTGTTCATGGTAAGCAAGTGGCTGTGAGTCATCGGGATGGAGCCATTAGTCATACACAGAGAGGCAACGTGTAGTCTGGTTGGTTAATCAGGAACTCATAGTGAGAAAGGCCAAGTATCTTTTCACAGCAGATTGAGGCTTAAAGGTTTTTGGCACAGAACTCGGTAACACTGCTTTTCAAGATGTCCACACATACACATGTGTGTATCTTGTACATGTGTGTATACATGCATACACACATGCAGATCTAGGTATATATCTATCCCTCAGAATAAGATCTGGCAGTTTTCAGAGTAGCAGTCACCAAAAACACTTTGTGTTCACACACATTTACAAGTTAACAATGGAATGACTTCTAAATCTTTGGTTTATCAAAAAGAGAACTTCTAAAATCACAACATTTTTTGATTATTTTCTCCATAAGTGCACAGTGAACATTATTTTTACAAAAGAGAAAAAACAGTGCCTTAGTGATTTAAATTAAAAAAACAAACCCTGCATTAGCTACTTTCTACAGCATGCAACGCTATCAAACGGTGAATTGGAACCACAGGGAGCCTTCGAGAGACTGTCCTGCGTTGAGTTTTTCAGCTCCCAGCAAAAGCATGAGAGGTGATGAGGAATGCACAATTAGGACCATCATCTTTTTTCCTTTTATCATTTACAATGTGCGACTGTTTTCTTTCAGAAACCAGGCGTAAAATACTCTCTGTCATAAATATAATTCATATTTATCTTTACAATATAATGATTTCCAATTTCCCCAGAGCAACCTAAATCAAAGATTGCTGTAAATCAAATGAGGGTAGAATGAACATTGTGACTGATGGACCGAGTTACCACTTTCCTCCTCAGGAAATTCTTTTAACTTCCTTTTGCAGCAAATGATGCACATAGAGAATAAATTTTCCAGGAGAACCTGGATTTTTAGGTTTTAAAAAATATGGCTTTATTAGGAGTGTGGTAGACTGAGAAGTCCTCTTCTCCCAATGTTGGCACACAAAAAAACTATATCCTCAAAAGAGGAGCAAGAAAGGACTGATATCTTGAAAGCAAAGCAGAATGGGAAAAAGATAAACTGAGGTGGACTGCCCACCCCCAATAAGAAAACAACAGCAAAAAGTTGGGCTGCCACGAATAATTGTCCTGTTATGTCCATGGTATAATACCCAAGGTCTTCATCCCCATGACACAGGAAAAGCTCACTTTTCCTGTCTGAATTATCCCTGATATTGTTTCCTGAGGCTAGAGGTATCCTTCCAATCTGCTGACATGGTCATCTCTAGTCTTTGGAACTAGATGGGGATTGTGTTGGAGAACCTTCCACAGCAGGAGGTTCCTTTGCTTAGGGTTCCCCCGTTTCACAGTGCTTATTGCCACAGACTGCGGGAGTGATTTGGCTACTGGTTGAGACATTGGGAAGTTCCGGGTGGAGTGCTCTGGACCAAATGTAGGTCAGTTATTATTGGTGACCACTCAGTGTTCTGAGCCCTGGATGGGAGCCATCTAATGGGGCAACTTTGTGGCTAAGGGACACTGGGAACAAATTGGTTCTCCCCCTCTAGCTCCCAAACTGAAGCTGGGCATGGTTTCTATTTTGAAAGATGGGTCATGGAGAGACGAGAAGCAACCTCCACCATGGGTATGTCTTCCACAACTTTTGATAGACTGGCTTCCCTGTACTCCTAAGAAAGCTTACATTTCTTTCCACAGTACATCTAATAAATTCATGAGAAAAGTTTACAATGTGAGATTTTATGCCCAACAACGCCTGAGAAAATTTATGAGTGAGAAAAAATATTGGTGTTTGAAAGGTAGTGAAAGATTTTTGTTTTGGTACTGTTGATCTGAGAAAGCACATTTTTGAATGCATGGCTGAAATCATTAACAGTTAATGAATGTTGGTAAATATCACATTTATATATATTTATATATAAAGACTGCTATTTGCTCTTGCTGATTGTCACAGAAGTCTCTTTTTAATTTCCTCTTCCTCTACCTCCATTTCCTCTTTTTGGCTAACATAAGGATGGTAGCGTGCTTTTCCCCATGGACTTCCTTTGGTTGTCCTCAGCACTTTTGCATCAGGCATTCTACCATTGTTGTAAGTGAAGGTCCATGGGGGAATTCAAATTGAGATCTGTGACATCCAGGAAATCAATGTTAAAGATGCTGGGGCCACTGGTGGGAAGGGAGCCAAAGGCCGGTGTGGAACTTGGTGGAGTGAGGTCTAGCCACTCCATGGTTTCCCAAGGAGATTCAGTGAAGCTCAACTGCAGCCCATTGCTGTCCACAGATGAGGGTGAAAATTGAGTCTGCATTGGGGAAAGAGGACCTGGCAGGATCTCATGTGCGTTGAAAAGGTCTTCTGCAGTCTTCCCAGAGAATCCATCCATTATCCCATCAAAAGGTGGCTCCTCGCTCCCAATTTTAAGAAGGGCAACATCGCTCACCTTTCCTAAGGGACTCTGGGAATTTAATAAGACTTCAAGATGCTCATCACTGTCGGTGCCATAGTGATCGAAGGAGAGCTGGCCTCCTGAAGATGCTTGTTCAAAGGAAGCTGAGGGCTTGGGAAGGGGAGCAGTAGGGCTTCGGGAAGACCTGGGTATCTTTGGGACTTTTTGAAGACATGAATGATCCTCTCTGGCATCAGCAGGCATTTCTGTTGGTAAAACACAACGGGAATTGTTAAATCACTGCAAATCGAGCATGCCCCACATTGAGTCTAAGGAATGAATGAGTTCTTCATTGGTCACCGCCTGTCACCCAGTTTCATTCCTAAACTGCTGAATATATCCCAGTCTTCTCTCTGGTCTCTCCCCAAACTCTTTTCTTCTAGAAACTCCTCTTGTGATGATCAAACTCTTAAAGAAGACTCCTCTAGCCTACTCCTTCACTGACACCTGGCTGCCCCTGGAGACAACGCATCCTCCTTTACACCTTCAGTGCGGGCTCATTTACTTCAGCCACAGGATGAGTTGCTGGTGCCAGCTCACTTATCCAGTACCTCACAGCAACCACTCCTCAGTCACATGGAGTCACTCCAGACTCCTGACTACTATTTTATCACCCTCCATCAGCCCCTACTGATTTTCACTTCTTCCCCTGGCCCAGTCAGAGCTACCATTTCTCCCTTGACAATACCCTTGGATGAAGTTCATCATCTGATTTCTCTGAGTGTGCAGTGGATTGGTAGGATGTTGCAGAGAAAAACAACACAATGAAGCTGACTGGTTCCAGTTTCAATTCATGATATCGGGCCTACAATTAGTATTTAACACTACCTAGTAATCCAACTGTGCTTCTCCAGAAAACTCAATTCATTCGTGATTGATTCATAACTTTCCTTCAATCTTCCACACTCCCCCTCTTACCTACACTCTTTGTTGACCCTGTCACGTATTTTATTAAAAATATAGGGGTGTCAAAGGACACAGAAACATCAATTCCAAAGAGCACCTGCACCCCTATGTTTAGAGCAGCACTGTTTACAATAGCTAAGCTTTGGAAACAACCCAAATGCCCAAAAATAGATGACTGGATCAAGAAGATGTGGTACATATACACCATGGAATATTACTCAGCATTCAAAAAAGATAAACACATGCAATTTGCAGCAACATGGATGGTGCTGGAAGGGATCATGCTCAGCGAAATAAGCCAGAAAGAAAAAGAAAAATACCGGATGGTCTCACTCATAGCAGGAATCTAGAAAACTTAAATAAGGGACCAGGAAAATGAATAACTATAAGAAAGTGAAAATCAAAATCAACAAAAAACTATGAACCAGAGACACTCTATGGGGGTGGGGGGCGGGGAGGGGAGAGATTGGGGTCAAAATAAGGGGATTGCAATTGTATGGGGAATATAAAAATAAAATTTATTTAAAAAAATATAGGGTGTCCAATATGAACCCTCTTCATTTTTCTATGTATCTATATACAGACAATGTATATAGACATATCCACCTGTGTCCAACTTTTCCTTTTTTCCTCTTGTTACAATGGGGGGAAAGCCAGTTCATTTGTTTGCTGCCCTTTGCCCTCTGTAGACTGTACCCTCCATAAAGGCAGGAGCTTTGTCTGCTTTGGCATTGAATATAGTGCCTGGCTACTCCTCTGAAACTTTAAATGTTACTTAAGGACTCACATCTTTACTTTCTATCGACACTTTTTTTTTTCCACGACTGTATTCATTTGTGTGGTTTCAAACTCTAGGCACATTCTCTGTGATTTTTAAAAAAATGAATAAATTATTTAAAAGGAGGCAGGATGGCATGCCGATCATTTGTTTTTGCTAGTTTCAGTAATATTTAAGCATGAACTAGTAATCATCCAGTGGAGGATTACTAGTTCAATTTCATTTTGAGTAAGTAGCACAAAACTTTGGTTATCTGTTCTCTGTGTTTCCTGCAATACAGAAACTTGAGATTAGGAAAACAGAAAATTGGTATAGCAAGAGAGAACATTTAGAGAAGCAGGGCCAAGGTGGAAAGGTGAAAACTGTTCGGATGATTCATGAAAAGTGTTGCCGAGACAAATGCTGTGAGGAACCGTCAACTGCTTCTTTCATCTGCTCCAACTTGGACAGGAAGCTCCCACAAAGTTAACTCTGCTTGTGGATGGCTTTTTGGTCTGTCTTACACTGAGCTCCTGACCTAGGTCCTGAGGGTTCTCTGCCTAGAGTACATGCAGGGGGTAGAGCCCTTGAGGGGTTCACACAAGGGTTCTTACCTCCACTTTCAATGAGGACATCCAGGAGTTCGTCCATCTGCTGACTCCGAGTCATTTGCTATTGCAAATTAACCAAAGGCAAAAAGAGAAGTTAGAAGGCAGCACTACAGGTTTTTGAATTAGGTTTGGTTAGGGTTTTTTCTTTTACATTGTGGTAAAGAACAAATAACACAGAGTTGACCACCTTGACCACTGTAAGCGCACAGTGGCATTAAGCTCATTCACAGTGTTGTGCAACCTTCAAGACTCTGTCTCCAGGACTCTTTCCATTCTGCAAAACTGAAACTGTCCCCAGTAAATAATAACACCCCATTCTTCCTGTCCCCAGTCTGGCCTCTGATGACCACCATTCTCTTTCTGTTCCTGAAAGGAACAGAATTTTATGAATTTGACTACTGTAGATGTTTACATGGAATTACACAGAATTTGTCTTTTTGTGACTGGCTTATTTCACTTAGCATAATGTCCTCAAGTTTCCATGTTATAGCATGTGATAGAATTTCTTTTCCTTTTAAGGCTGACTAATATTTACTGTATGGATGGATATACCACATTTTGTTTCTCCATTTCTCCACTGATGGACACTCAGGTTGCCTCAACCTTTTTGGCTCTTGTGAATAATGTTATAGACATGGATGTAACTGGCTAAAAGGTTTGAAGCACATGGAATTAAGGCTTAAAATTACTTTTGAACAGGAAAACTACTGAATGAAACAGTCCAGTATAAGAAAAAGGAGAGGATGTGGAATGTTAAAACTGAGTAAAGGAATGAAGTCAGTTGTTTGAGAGGTTTCCATCTCAGATGCAGGGCATTTTAATACATTGATAGTATTTTTTAAAGATTTATTTTTTCATTTATGCATAGAATGCAGGGTGGCGGGGGGCTTGTAAGAGGATTCACCAGAGACAGAGTGGGGAGCAGAACAGACAGATTTGCTGAAATACACTGCTGAGGGGAGCAGTGTGCAAGACAGGAGAGGTCTGCTGCCCATGTGGGTAGCTCCAGGGCTGGGGATTGAACTCATGCTGCAGTGGCTGGCGATAACTTGATAACATTGAGACTTTAACCCCTGCACTTCCAGGGAGGCCCACATTGATAGTATTTCAATACATTGTGGATGTGATCCATGAAAGCGGCTCATATTTCTTGGATACTTCATCACAATAGATAATCTGTTGATTCTTGTCAGGAATATAACCCTCAGCTCTGGCTCATTCGCGGAAGCACAGTTTGCTGATCCTTTTCTTTTCTTTTGAAATCATGAAGGATCAGTTCATGTTTACAGATACCCAAGGGAGGGGAAGAGGAGAATAAAGACAAATATCGATCTCACTCCTCTAAGAGCCCTGTCCCAAAAAACAAAGGCATTGATTATCAGTATGGCTGGGGGCACAGTTCAAAAAAATGAGTCATTTGCTGATACAGGAGGCATTAGATGCCTGCAGGGTCTGATAGTGATGTAAATGAACAAGTATAGAAAAATAGAGAAGGGTGAACTGCAGAACTTAAGCTGTGGATCAAATAGGTTGTGGCTGCTTTGTTTCAGGCAACCACTGGCAGGAGTGTGGCTCCACTGTTGCCAGATCCTCTAGTTTTTTAGAAATGAGAAAGCCTACTTTTTGCACAAAATTCCTGATATTTGAAATATTCTCTCAGCAAGTGAAACCTAACTGCAGGCTGATCTGGAGCCAGGAGTTTCCACTATGCAGCAACTGATGGAGAGGCCCTCTTCTGGGTTAAGCAACACCAAGGAATAGCTGATATTTTCTCTAAGCTTAGACCATTTGAAATATAAGACCATTAATGCTTTCCTTTCATTTTTTATATTGAAAATTTCCAACATAAATGAGAGTGGAGGGTATAATGAACCCCCCTATTACCAGGTTTAACAACCACCAGCACTTTGCCAGGAGTCCTAAATTTTGAAGCTAAGAACACAAAAAGGTATAACCCTGACAATGCCTTTTATATATTTGAGTACCTAACCTGTTGCCCTATGTGGGAAGTGCTCCATTATCTAGAATTCTTGCAAAGTAGACAGTATCCTTATTTTATATGAGAAGTTGAGAGCTTGTCGAACATTAATGGCAGTGGCAGCTGGCTGGTGGCTCAACTGGCATCTAGGTGGTCCGTCCCGACCTCTTTTTTCTAGGTTTCATATGGCTTCTCCACACACACAGCACTTTCTGCAATAAGCATCATGGCGCTTTGCCTATTCAAGTTGAGGGGCACTAGATGCACTCAGTATTATCTGCATTAAATTGAATAATATAAAATAATATCCATTTTGTTAGTCTATTCTTCTATAAAGAGCAAATTGAGCAGTCACCTGTTTTACTGCATCTTCATAGGATGGAGGCTGTGTTATCTCTGACACTGCTGAAGTTGACTTAGAGAAAGTAGGGGATGGAATCGAAAACTTTGGCCCTGCCTTATCAGAGGAGTGTAAGCCAGCCATCTGTGGGTATAATGCAGAGAAAGACAATCAATTGATGGGTGAGTCAGAAGTGGAGCTTCATCTCTTTTAGAAACTACAGGCTAAATTTTGGAAAAATCAAATTAAGTAAAAGAAAAGAGATAAGCCTTAGAAAACAGCCCTACTATATTCACAGTGGCATGTATCACTGCGGACTTAGTGCTCGAGGCATCTTAGAATGGGAGCCTTACATACTTATTTTCCCTCTAAGGGATACCTTCTGTTAAGAGAATAAGAGATGAGAAAAGGAAAGAACTCCAAAGAGTCCAATCCAATACAAAGTCTCCTAGCACAGGAATTTTCAGGGTAATTTATCTCCCAAGCCATTTTGATTATTTGCAGTTAGATACTCTCCCAGAGTACCTTTTCATGAGTTAGTCTTGTGTGTTCTGTGGCGCGCCTGGGTCCTTTCAAGGTCTCTGACCCAAGGGAGACCCTGCCCTGCATGGATCATTTTTGCATTGTGGCCATTTGATGTCTCCCTCCTGCTCTTCACCGTTGCACAGTCCCTTGGAATTGCCCACATCTTGGATACTTCCACCTGTTGATATCGATCAGCTCTTCCTTTTTCTGTGGCAGTATTGCAACTGTGGCACAAACTTGCTGTTCCTCTCCATCCTTTCCATGGGTCAGTATACCTCTCTCTTTCTCCAGCATTGTTTCCCCATGCACCTCTATTCCAATCTTAAACATCATTGAAACTGGTCTGTTTGCCATGTTTCACGAGCCTACCATGGCCATTTAATCCTCATGATTTCTAGATGACCTCAGGAAATAATTCCTTGGCATACTGCCTAACATATAACAGTACATCAATTTTAGTCCTTTCCAGGGGGACCTATTTCTATCTAAAATGTCATTTATCTCTGTCACTGAAGTTTATCATCCACCTTGGAAGACGGGGACCACAGAAAACCTTTTTGTAGGTGCTTACCTTTTGTTGTACACCTGGGCTTTGGGGACAAGGGGTGCCCCCAGCACCATGACTGCTGTCTGCCTGGGCTCCAGAGAAAGGGGGGTGGAGGCCGGAGGGCTGGGGAGAGAAGCTTGGAGGATGGCCCTCATGTGCCCCTGAATTCTGTAGAAAGGAAGGAACAATTTAACAGCAGCATGAATGAAAGCAGCCATTGCTGAGATAACTGCTGCTTTCCCTGGTGTCTTCTTTTCCAACTACCCTGATTTCATTACTGAAATCTCAAATTTGGCTTTGTACAAATTGGGCTTTGATCATCTACCACTCAAAAACTGTCAATGGCTCTCACATAGTCCCAGCATATGCTCCCCAATTCTAACCATGGTAATATGCTCCACAGTCTAGTACTATTTTTTCCTGCAAGCTGCAATTCTACTAATTCTTCCATGAACTTTCCTCAGCATGCCCTACACATTCAACTCCTTATCTATTTTCACAAGGAATGCCCTTTCCTTGACTCTCGATCTTTAAAACCTCTGAATTCTCATTATGTTTGACCTTCCACAAAGCCTTCCCTACTTTTCTAGTCTTTCCTAATCAATCTGCCCCCATGAATATTTTGGGCACTGTCAAAAGCATGATAAATCATATTATCCAATATTGCCCTTTATTTTTTATCTTATTATTATGTAATCACTCATGTCTTAGAGTGCTTTGAAAACCACAAATGACTGTACAAATGTTAGTTCTTCTTGGCAGCACTAAAATCACTGGAATTGACTAACTATGGTCCAGAGCCATGTCTTGAGAGCTACTTTTACCATTGAGACCTCACTAGGACACTATGAACTGAATCATGATGACAATAATCCAGGCAGGTCCCAGCTCCTCTCAGCATACACACTCAGCCACGGGCATCACTCATTTCACTGTGTGGTTCTGAGAGGTTTGTAAAAATATATCATCATTATTTATGGGTGACATTTCATATTCCCAGGGTAGAGAGTATTCTGAGTGAAAAGGGGTATCCTTTAGAATCAGATAGTGTAGGCTTGTGCGACCCTGAGCAACTATTTTAACCTCCCCGAGTCCTGTCCTCAGTGGCAAGTAAAGAATAATAAATTGGAGCTGATAATGTTGTGACAATGAGATTGCTCGTATTCATGGTGCATAACACTTGGCATGCAGCAGGTACCCAATTAATGTGGATTTTCTTCCTTCTCCCTGTCTAATAATATAGATTTCAAAATCTTTTGATAACTTAGTTTTCATTCTATTATCTTAATTAGATATTTCTAATACTTCTTTGGTTTCAAAGAAAGGAAAATCTCTACTGATCATCGTGCTCTAGCCTATGAACTAAAATTTCTGAGTTATCTCTTACAACTCTCCTCTTACTTTGTTCCAGCCACACTGACTTTCTTCCAGGGCCCTTGCACTTGATATTCTTCCTCTGCCTATAACTATAACACCTTCACCCCAAATATTCAGTAGGCTTCTCCTTTACCTCATTCAAAACTGCTCATATGTCTCTGGCCCTCCAACTTAAAGCTGCAAACTTCCACTCTCTACCTCCTACTCTGCTCTTTCTTCCTAAGATGTATCATCTCCTGATGCATTTGTATACTTATTTTGTTTTCTGTCTGTCTCCCCTTGAGAACAGGCATTTTTAAAAAGATTTGTTTATGCAAACAAAAGCTGGGGTGTAGGCCAGAGGTATGGGGGGGTTAGGGGGGAAGTTGTGACAGGGTGGAGAGCAGAACAGGTGGATCTACTGAAATACGCTGCTGAGGGGAGCAGCACGTGACACAGGAGAGGTCTGCTGTGTCATGTGGGTAGGCTCCCTGGCCAGGGATCGAACTCATGTTGCAGTGGCTGCCGACAGCTTCACAGTGCTGAGACTTAACCCCTTGCCCCACCAGTGTGGTACTGAGAATAAGCATTTTTTGTCTGGCACTATCTTCAGACACTAGAACAGGACCTGTTACGTAGTGCTCAGTAAATATTTGCACTCTGTAGACTATTCCATGGAGGGATGATAGGGTCTCATAACTTTCTCTTTGGTTCTTTTGATAAATTGGTTTGACCTATGGAAAGGCTTGACACCAAGGAGTCCAGAGAAAAGGGATTAGCATTCTACTCCCCATGAGCCAAATCTAGCTGTTTTTGTAAAATTTAATTGGAACACAGTCATGTGTTTTCATTTACAAGTTATCCTTGCGAATGCAAAGGTAGAGTTGAGTAATTATGACCAGCAAGGCCAAAGATATTTACAATCCATAACTAGCCCTTTATAGAAAAAGTTTGCCAAGCCCAGTCTCAAAGAAATGGGTTTGATCTACTGAGAAGGTCTGAGGATCATGGTGTCTAGGAGGTGCTGCTGAACTTTTAGTAAACCCTGCCCATCAACAGTCTCAAGGACAGTTTTTCATAAGTTGGAAATCCACCTCCCACTTCCAGAAAGAGAAACAGGATGAATGGCAGGGAGTTCTCACCTGTGCAGTACACACCTGGCTGCTGCTGACAGGTGAGGAGACCCTGTGCCCTTCCGCTGGAGTGCCTGAAGATGGGGGTAGGAAGTAATGGTTGTTTGGCGAAGGGGGCAAACTGATATGCTGGGGGCTTTTCACAGCCCCAAGTGGCGAATGCTGAGGGGAGCACTGCGGGCTGAGAAACGTGGAAGAAAGTACGTTGGTTTGACCTGAGGAGTCCACACAGTGGGCGTTCCCGAGGGGCAGGAGTGGAGCAGCTTCACAAGTGGAAGGTTGGCCCTCTGAGCTATTGCTTTGTCTTTTCACAGATATTTGTTGGGATGCGAAAGGACAGCTGGAAATGGCATCCTCCTGTTTGATGGGGGCGGCCAGGAAAGGCAAAGGCTTCTTCTCAGAACTGTTGTTCCTTTTCTGCTTCTGCAGCTGCATCCTCAACTCCTCCACTTGCCTTTGTTCTTGCTGGAGTTTCCAAGTCAGCTCGTTTATCACTTTCTGCTTCTCTACCAGCATCTTGTCCTTCTCAGAGTCCAGCCCGTCCAGCTCAGAAGGAACAGAGCCCCCATTCAGGCTGCTCATGAGGCTCTCCTCAGTGCAGACGTGAACTGGGGACGGATGCAGGCCGAAGGAGGGGGACGCATCGTTGAAGGTGTCCGGCAGGGACCCTGCCACCGACAGGTCGGATGAGGCGGGCGAGATGGGGGGACTGGAGCTGGTGCTGCCGAAGTGGTAGAAGCCGTTGGATAAGGCACTGGTGGAGGGGGAGGACTGGTAATTGGGCAGCGCGCTGGTGGGCGTAACAGGAAAAGTGACAGTGGTTATTTCACCAAAGTTCGGCATGGGGTTCGCAGAACAGTCCTGGAAGGGCCGGAGCCGGTCCATGAGTGCTGTCTTAGTGCCTGATACTGGCAAGCCCCGTATTCGAAGCTGTTGTCTTAATTCAGAGACCTAAGAAAGCAGGGTGTTGTTAGTATGCTGTGCAGTGATGGTCTTAAAAAGTGCATTTGTTATTAAATTTAAAATTAGCTTTAAAACATCACAAGTGGAATTTTACAATGTTCCTCTGTTCTTTTTGTAACCTCTTTCCAACTTCCTCCCCTTTACCTGATACACTTTTTGCAAAATATTAATGATAATATTAACATTAAGCATATACCATGTTTTCATGTCCAGAATCATAGAAATGTAGAACTCAAATGAAGTATAGAGGCTACTTACTCTATTGCCCTCCAACTACCATCTCAGTTCTTGACCCCACTTATAGATAACCGGTGTCTGCCTGGGTTTAGACTTCAGCTCTCAACCGACCATCCCCAAGTATACTGACTCCCAGGTTTTCTGCTTTCTAAGGGAAAGCTCTCCCTACCTGGCTTTTTGTTGTGGTTCTAATCTTGAGCAGTCACCAGAACCCCTGGAACTGGGGTACAGCACAGACAGCTGGGTCCCAGCTCCTAGTGCTGATTCCTAGGGCCTGGGATCGGGACTGAGGATGTGCCTTTCCAACAAGTTTCCAAAGGATGTTGATATCACTGTTCCCTGAAGCAGTTTTTGAGAACCATGGTTCTCACCAATATTTATGTCCTAAATCTAACAACTGGCTGGATGGTAATGGCCTATTGAGAGATGATATGGGTGGAGATAAGATCAATTCAAATTCTGGCCTCTTACTAGCTCAGTGATCACTCTGTGTCTCAGTTTTTCCTTCTGTAAAATATAGATATTAATACCTACCATATACATTTTTCGCCATTGGATTAAAATGGCGAGGATTAAAATGGTGAGGATTAAAATGGATTAAAATTTGTCAAGTATTTGGAATGGTGCCTGGCAAATGGTTAGTGCAGTGTCAGGGCTTGCTATTATTATGTTGATTCACATGTAATTATCTCATTCCTGCATTTTTTATAATGTTCATAAATTATAAACTACTGTCTAAAAATATGGAAACTTAAATAAATTATAGTGCATGCAAGTGATGAATACTTCAGAGCCATTAAGTGATACTATAAATATTTGTTGATATAGAATAATGGATAATTATTTATGGTATATTATTAAGTGAAAAGGTTTAAATTGCTAGATTCTATTTTCTAAAAATTATATAAATATATGTGTGTATATATTCAAACATCTGCTTCCAGATAAAAATATCTGGATAAAGATATGCTACAATGTTAATAATCGTTCTTATTTGTATTTCTTAAATATTCCTCATAACCAGTTTACTTTTGTAATTAGAACAGGAAGCATATTAAATGCCCCAATATCAAGAATTCCATGAAATAACAAAAATTCATAGGGAAATAGTCCTCTGATAGGGAAAACTCTTTTGAATAGAGAAGCAAATAAAGTCTTCACAAAAATATTGACAACAAAAATTGAAAACATTTGCATGTCAAAAATACCAAAAAGAAAATACAAATGCAGGGCCACCTGGTGGCGCAGATGGTTGAGAACAGTGCTGTGAAGCTGTCCGAGCCTCTGCAGTGCCAGTTCGATACCTGCCGGCCTGCGAGAATCCCACATGGTGCGGCAGACCTCTCCTGTCTTGCCCGCTGCTCTCCTTAGCAGCATATTTCAGTCAGTCTGCCTGTTCTGTTCCCCACTTTGTCTCTAGTGAATTTTCTCACCTTCCTGCGCATCTGGTCTGTACCCCGATTCTTGTATGCATGAATAAATGAATTTAAAAAAGGAAAATACAAATGCAAACAGTTGCTTCAGGAAAATATAATTGCAGAATAATAAAATGTTGGTAAGTTTAATGTATCAAGTGTGTTTAACAGCCAAAACCAAAAAAGATTGACATCCATTATAAAAAATAGGTAGTGGTCGTGATCCAAACTTTCACATACAAAAGATAAAATTTTTTTAAAAGGGCAATAATGCTTTAATGTTATATGTAGCATTATTATTATTAGTCATCCAAGAAATACAAATAAAATATGTACACATTTTTGTATTTATCAAATTGACAAAGAAATGAATACACTATTACTGAAGTAGCAGCAAAAATAACTAAAAATGTTAAAAAAGGTCTTCATTTAGACATTCTTTTGATAGGACAGAAATTTAAAATCCATCAGATACATGCAAAATAGTGACTCATTTCCCTCCTAATTTTGTATTTTTCTTTATCTAAGAACATGTTAAGCATCCACTTATGTGTACATAAAATGTTTCTGCATGTAGCTCAGCAAAGCAACAGCCAGCCTCTGTTACACAATGAATTCTACCAGTGTGTAGAATTCATTCAAGTTAAAATTCTAACTTATTTTATTTTTTAACACTGTTTATTTTTATTGCAGTGACATTGCATTAAGAAAGCTCTTTACTACCTTGCTATTCCCAGTCTGGTTCTTGGACCAGCAACACCAATAATATCTGGGAACTAGTTAGAAATGCTGAATCCCAGTTCTTCTCCAAATCCAATGAATAAGAATCTGCATTTACCAAGAGCCACAGGTGACTCTGTGTTTCTGTGTATGCATTTATGTTTGAGAACTGCTGCTTTCACACATTGCTTCTAGGAATAAACTGGCACAAATTTTCAGAATGGAGATTTGTTAATATGTATCAAGAACTTAAAAAATACTAAGATGTTTTGGTTGCAGAATTCTCCTCCCATGTATTTTAGCCTGGAGAGGTAATTGAGAAATTGATAAATGTATGCACAAATTATATTTTTAATAACAAAAATTTGGAAGCAAGTTAGATGTTTAATAGTCAGGTATTAACTAGTTGGTGAAATATGATATGATGCTATTAAAATTTTTTATTGAATATTAAGTTATGAAAGAATGTTCATGATATGTTAAATAATAAGGCATACCAGAAATTTATGCACACATATTATTTTAAAACAAAACATGTCCGTAGGCATTTTCAGTCTTGAGGGAAACATGATTTGCAATTCTATCTTGAGTCTTAATGGTCCTAAAAAAATATTCTTTGCTTTTCTGTAAGTTATCATACTTCAATGGTGAATATGTATAACTTTATAATTAGCTAAAATTTATTTTAAATGAAATGCATCTACTTACATACTATAAGCAATAAATACATTCTCTCCCCCATAGTCTTTCTAGCTCTGTTTTATCATTTTCTTTTACATGTACTGGTTTGAAAAAGTGCAAAATGGCAACTCATTATTGTTTTAATTTTGAATTACTTAAAATTAATGAGCTCTACATTTATTTTTAGAATCTGTTCTGACACTGAATAATTTCAAGTACATTATTAAATAATGCAGCTCACATTCTAAAATAAAATGAATACTTGTTGAGTTCAATTTTTCTTAAATTCCAGGAAACTTTGCTATGTGGGCTTGTTTGGGACAAAGATTTGTGTTCATTTTTTTCTTATTTTCACTGATGTTTTCATGACTGATAATTTTTAAAAACCATTTATTATTGAAAACTTCAAACATACAAAAAAGTAGGTAGAAAAGTATAATGAACCCCATGCATCCTCCAACCTGCTTTAACAATGATCAACACATACCCAATCTTATTTCATTTACGCCCAACTTACTTATTCCCATAGCTACATTTTCTGAATTATTTTGAAGCAAGTCAAACTTCCTCTGTAAATATTTTGGCGTCTTCTCTAAAAGATGATTACTTTCTTGAAAACTGTAGATATACTACTATTATTGTACTTTAAAAAATGCAAGATTAATTTCTTAATAACCATCAAATACCTTTCTAGTTTTTGAATTTTCTCCTCCCTCCCTTTAAAAAAATCTGTAAAAATAAAATTAAAATTAAAAACATCTTTTTATTATGATAAAGATATGTAACATACAATCTGCCATTTAACCATTGTGAAGTGGACAGTTCAGTGGCATTAAACAAATATCACCACCTTCCATCTCTGAAATATTTTCATTTCTCAAAATTTGCCCCTTTATTCTTTTTTAAGATTCATTTACTTATGTATACAAGAACTAGGGTACAGGCCAGAGGTGGGGGCGTTGAGAGGATTCACCAGAGACACAGTGGGGAGCAGAACAGGCAGACTGACTGAAATACACTGCTGAGGGGAGCAGCGGGCGAGTCAGGAGAGGTCTGCTGTGCCATGTGGGTTGCTCCCTGGCCAGGGATCAAACTTGTGCTGCAGTGGCTGTGGATAGCTTCATAGGTTGTGTCTTAACCCCTTGCACCACCAGGGAGGCCCCTGGCCCTTTAAATACTTTCTGTCTGTAAATTTGACTAATCTAGATCTACTACTTGTAAGTGCAGTCATAGAGTGTCCCAAGGTGTCTGGCTTATTTCTCTTAATATCATGTTACCCAAGAAAGAGAGCCTACTTCAGTGGCTACAGAATGATGATATGAGAATTGGAGGTGGGTGACACCAATTCTGGAGAGCACTATTAGGAGCTTGGCATCCTCCTCGAGGTTGATTGATGCCAAATTGAAATAGGTTCAATGAAACCTAAACAATTTTATTCCAAGTGGAAGGAATAAATGAACCTTTGATATCAGGGCCTGAGATACATTTTACTTACTGGTGCTGGCACTTTGCTATTGAATTGCCTTTGATTAGAAGTAATCCCATTCTTACTTTTTCCCCAAAGAAAATGATGACCAGGACTGAGGATGGGCACTGAAGACTGAAGGGGCAATAGGATTGGCACAGTGAAGACTATGGAGACATTTAGAAGTTGAGCTTATGGAGAAAAGTAAGATCCTTTGGAGGGAAAGTGAGAGTAGTATGGAAAACAGGGAATTCCCACAGTCCGTATCTAACTACATTTCAGGACAGAAACGTTCAGATTTGGGAATGCCGTGGAACAGTCCATTGCTGTCCATTATATAACTGACATAGGGTTACCAACATTTTATCTTGTAAATTATGACTAATCTCCTTATTTAATAATATACCTATTTAATCAAAAGAAGTAAACAAAACTTGATCAGAAACACTTGACTTTCATCCATCACTATCCTAATTCCCTAATAGAAAGGATATTTTAACATTCAAAACATCAAGAAGAAAGATATACTTTGAATAAAGATTAATGAAAGATAAAGATTGAATTGAATTGAATTGAATAAAGATTTATGAAAATCTGTTGACATGGTTCTATTTTTCTCATCTCACCAGAGACTGGTAAAAGCAGTGGTTTAGAACACTCCGGAAGCTAAATTCAATCTCACCTCATCTCCATGCTCAGCTCTAGAGTGGATTTCATTTGATTCTTACAATAACTTATCTTGGCAAAAGAAGAATTTGAGAGACAAAAACCAGTCCAATACTGCCAAGCCAGTGAAAGGGCTGAGTTGGGAGCCTAGGATCTCATACTCTGTCAGGGCTTCTGCCCTAGCAGTTAAAATTCTGTCATATTTTTAAGCCTCTCCCATATGCATCTCCCTCCCACTATTTTATGCAAGAAATCAGTTGGTAAAGATGTTCTTAAGAATATACTGAGGGCCTTCTCTGGTGGCGCAGCGGTTGAGCGTTGGGATGCAAGCGGCCCGCAGCCTCAGCGGCGCTGATTTGATCCCTGGCCGCCATTTAGACCTCTCCTGCTGTGCCCACTGCTCCCCTCAGCAGTGTATTTCGCCAGTCTGCCTGTTCTGTTCCCCACTCTGGCTCTGGTGAATTCTCTCACCCACCCTCCCTTCTGACTGTACCCAGTGCTTGTATATAAATAGATAAATAAATAAATAAATAAATAAATAAATAAATAAATAAATCTTTTTAAAAAAACTTAAAAAAAAAAGAATATACTGATGCATGTGTGTGTGTGTGTGTGTGTGTGTGTGTGTGTGTGTGTGAGAGAGAGAGAGAGAGAGAGAGAGAGAGAGAGGGAGAGGGAGAGAGAAAGAGAGAATAAAGAAAATGATGTCAACCCTCGTACCTTCAGATCATCTAGGTTTGATGGGAGTGGGCCTGGTTTGAGAGAAGAGATACCAGTTTGTCCAGAAAAACTGTTTTTGACGGGAGACAAAGGGTTGTTGCCCAGTGGTGCTGATGAAGAGTTTGGATTTCTGACCATCTGTTCATTTGGTTCCCTGAAAAGCAATATAAAAGGAAAACTTAAAATATGGTCAAATACATACACTTGACCCTTGAACAAAATAGGTTTAACTGCAGGTTCGTTATGTGGATTTTCTTGTAAACAGAAAATGTAAACTTAGGGTATAAATAAACACAGTTCAGGACCATATATGTATTTTCTCTTCTTTATGATTTTCTTAATAAAATTTTATTTTTTCCAGCTCATTTTATCGTGAGGTACAGTCATCTAATATATTATAAAATGTGTGTTAATCACTTTGTATTACCAGTAAGGAGTAAGGCTTCTGGTCAAAAGCAGGCTATCAGCAGTTAAGTTTTGGGGGAATCAAAAGTTTTACATGGATTTTTGACTGCAAAGGAGGAGGGAGGTTGGTGTCCCTAACCCCTGTATTGTTCAAGGACAACTATATATGAAGGTCATTTGCATTTAGATCAGATCTCAAATTAATTGTGTCCAAGGAGTAAGCATGTACTCAATCAGCAGAAGAGGCAGGGAGAGGAAGAGCTACAGGGCAGGCTCCATGGCAAGTGACAAGTTGAGTTTTGGGGCGACAACAAGAAGTGGTGGAGACAGCGGCATGTGGGAGTATGCTTGTCCATCCCTGCTTCAGCAGATGTGCCATCTTCCTGTGGGGAGGCAGGAGTGAGCCACACCAGGCTGGACTGTGTTCAGGACTCAGGATAATTGTTTGCATGAGCTGAGGCTGCACAGCAATGGGCGGGGAAACCCACACCCCAATTTTATAGTTGAGGAGACTGACCATTTAAAAGGTGACCTAGCAATGGGTTCACACATCCAGGCTCAGGAGTCAAATTTGAGCCTGTCACTCCAGTCACTCAGCTTTATTGTTTCCTAAAGCCTACCTCGTGCTGAGCCAATCCATGAAACAGAACCCATATTCCTCAAAATACCAGTGTTACATTCTTAGCTGGTTTCTCCTCTTTTCCACAATCCAATCTGAAAGTGTGAGTTTCATTTTTCCAGAGGTCATTTTTTCATGGTATTACTTTACTTTTTTCTTCCTGGCCTTATGCTTCTGAAATGCTATGCCTGGTTTCTAAATTGGGTCATTTTCTTAACTTGCCAGATGAAGATCTGGGGCAATATGAGACTTGCCTGGTCCCTAAGTGCAGGCCCTGGTTGCCCCACGCAGAGAACCATCCCACTGTCTGCAGCCCCCACACCGGGCTGGCCTAACTTACTTGAGCTGAGCTTGGTGAATCCCGGAGTAGTTGAACCTGTGCTGCTGCTGCTGCTGTTGCTGCTGCTGCTGCTGGCTGAGTATCTGGAGCTGCAGAAACAGCTGCTGTTGCTGGAGCAGCCGGGCGTAGGCTGAGTCCATGGGCGGAGGAGACTTCTCGGCCTTCTGGTCAGGGGGAATGTATTGGTGATATTTGAGTTTCTTCACCTTCGGCTTGGGGTCCTTGGGTTTTTTGTGGCGGTTCTTACTGTCACTCAAGGACTTAGACTGTAAAGCAGATGAAGAAATGACATGAGCTTTAGGAGACAGAGGGGAATGACCTGGCATCACAGGTACGTAACAAAGAGATTTGATGGATGTTCTCAAGCCCCAGAAAGGCAATACAGCAAAGTCATGGTGCACAAAGAGATTCTGGGATATTAAGGTATCTAATGAACAAATCTACTGTGAGTGCATCGCAGGACATTCCATAGGAAGGGAATTTTGTATCTTAGAAATGGAAATCCAGGAGGATTACCTTCTCAGAGTACAGTGAGATGTAAACTTACGTTTTTGTAAGGGCACTTTCCTAACCCAAGCCCAACTGATGGGCAGATACTTTCTGATCTTGGGATGGATCCATAAGAAAGTTCTTTCATATCTATACATGTAAGTAATTTTTATTAAGTGCTAATTATGTTGACTTATGAATGGCATAAAATTAGATGAAATTAAGCTAGATTTGAAAGTCCCAATGTGGATTTTTGTTGCTTTGGGCTGAAAAGTAAGACACTCCCTTTCCGCCTACCAACCCCAAATGCTGATATGTGATCAGGAAGTGACACCCTCTGAAATAATCATCCTTTTCCTACTATGGAAAGGGCAAGCCACCCACTGGAGCCTTACCATAAGTGATAGAGTATGATTTGGACGCACTGAAAGAAGTGAAGGACTCAGGTTTGGAAGTTAGGGCAAAGTTCTGAATGTGGTACAATTAATAAACTTTACCACATACCAGTCACCTCCCCTGAAAGTTGGGGGAAAGTATTTTCTACTTTCTGTCCCAGTAATCAATATAAGGATGATAAAAGATAATACTGAATAACAGGTCTCCAGGAGTGTAATTCTTCTTGGTATGACCTCAAATGGCCACAAAATAGTAACAAACAATAATTACATACTGTAATAAGTTAAAAAATATAAGTTTTCAACCCCTGAGTGTATTACAGAAGGTTGAAATGAAGAACATGGATATGGTGGTAGAAGATTCTTGATCTTCTATCAAGAATAGAAGGGAACGAGTAGTGCCAGCAGTGTCCAGGAGAGGGAGCTCCTGAATAGCTGGCAGGCACATTCTGACTGGGCAGCATTCCCATTTTAACCACAAAATATACATCTGAAAGTGGCCTAAAACTTGCTTTTCTCTGACTCAGCGCATCCCACCATGGGCTTATGTTTTCTCAAGGAGGCTTTTTTTTAGAGAATGAATAATGAACACAAGTATTCCCTTGTGCTTGTCGGTCCAATTCTCCCTGATTAATTGATTAATATTCCAGTTAATTAATCAGTCCTCTGCACTTGGTAGAATTTCTGCAGGGATCTGCATCAACTCTGCTCTGCCTTGCTCCACTCAGCTTCTGCTCCCTCCTTATCCTAAGACTTGCTGTCTCTGGAGGAAGACAAGAGCTGCCACCCGAGTCTAGGAGTGAGTGAGGGGCTTAGGAATTTTCTATGTTGCCTTAGCCCCAGGGATGCTGAGCATTCCAGAAAGCACTAAAGTTTTGTTTTCCATATAGAATGGCATGGCCAGTAGAAGAAGAGCACATTCATCTTTCAAAAGCAAAGGTGCACTCAGAATCTAGTGGTTTAAGGTCCAGTCATAGATGTGATGGCAGGTCAGTGTCAGCAAAAGAGAATGGTGTGGTCTGTGGCTACAGAATGTAGGAGTTCCCAAAGGCATTCTAACTTAAAACTGCATACACACATACACACACACACCCCACCCCCACCTCAAGAGCCCATAATTGGCCTGTCTTGCCCTGCAAGATGAAGCTCAAACTATAGTCTGCCAAAGACAGTTCACCCAACTGCATAAATCTCCTCTCCTGCCCCCAAAATTTATACCTTCTGACTCTTTCCTTGCAATTTTATGCTGTGGGCAACTTCTGTTCCACTTGCTATCTAACTCCGGCTCATCCTTCGAGGCTGGCTTAAGCCGTGGCTCACCTGGGATGCTTTTATAACTCACAACGATGTCTCACATCTGTGTGACTCATGATATATTAAGGCTGTCTGATAATGGCTATGCCACTGTATATTATTCTAGGGGTGAGGGAGACTGAAATGCAGCCTCTGTTCTGCTTCTCTGACTACAGGTCCTGATGAAGGATGCAGTTGCTTGCGGAAGAGGAACCTGTTTTTGTATTGTGATAAAATACAAGTAACATAACAATCACCATAGTAACCATTTAAAGTATACAACTCAGTGGCATTTAGTACGTTCATAATGTGGTGTCACCACTATCTAGTTCTGGAACATTTTCATCATCCCAAAAGGAAATCCTTTATCCATTAAGCAGTTGCTCCCCATTCTCTCCTTCCTCCAGCCCCTGGAAACCATTAATCTGCTTTCTGTCTCTATGGATCTGCCTATTCGGACATTTCAAATAAATTTAATTGTATATCTTGTGACCTTTAGTGTTGGGCTTTCTTCACTCAACAAAATATTTCCAAGGTTTAATCACTTTGTAGCATGCATCAGCATTCATACCTTTTTATGGCCTAAATAATACTCCTTTGGTTATGACACATGTTTATCCATTCTTTATGGATCGACAATTGGGTTAGTTCCAACTTTTGCCTATTATGAATAGTGCTGTTATGAATATTACCATACAAGTTTTTATTTGAATACCTATTTTCAATTCTTTCCAATAGATAGGCGTGGAATTGGTAGGTGATATAGTAATTCTATGTTTACTTTACTGAGAACCACCAAACTGTTCTCTACACGGATGAACCATTTTATGTTTCCACCAGCAATCTGTGAAGGTTCTAATTTCTGTGTCCTCATCAGCATTGGTTATAATCCACTAGGATTATAGCCATCCCAGGGAGCCTACAGGTTTGCTCATTTGGAATAATGAGAATTTGAATATGTTGGAAGAAATAGTAATACACCTTCTCTTTGTATACAGCATTGGAAATAAGGTGAATCATCACCTGCTCTTTCCACCTACAATGAATAAAACTCACCAATAGTTTTCACATCATTTCAGAGTTGTTGAGGTGAGCAAATTGCAAGCTGGGTTTAAACTATGGCAGTTTGGTGAGGGAGTTAATTTTATAGGAAACTGAAATCTTTTCAGTCCATTTAGAATATGAAAGCCACATTTGTGTTTATGTCACGGAAGCATGTCATGACTTTAACATGGATTCTTACTTAATTTACAATAGAAAAAAATTTTTCAGGACAGTCATCTCCGCGCTGATTAAACAGTGACTCTGGAGCTGAGAAATCATGCTCCCAGATCAATTAGAAGTTATTTGAGAGGAAATATTACAAAGAAGGTCAGGCAACCACCAGAAGTTCATTGAAGAGAGAGCACTCTGAATTGTTAGATATAACACTGAGAAAATGAAACCAAATGTGTGCTACATGCTCATAGCTATTTGTTTACTGCGAATGTAACCCGTCCCCTTATTTGTATTTCTACAGGGACACGGGCTTGAATGATACAGGTTTTACTTGATGCAAGGTCCCTTGCATAAAATCCAAATGTTCTGCCCTTGTATTGTGGCATTTATAAATCTGTGCAACATGATTACTGCGTCTACCTCTAGGATGAGCTTATTAAGTCTTTTAAGACAGGAACATGCTGGCTAAGCTGTTGAGTCCAAAGAAAGGCCAACAAGTAGGCTTCTCCTCCACAGGAAGCCCCAAGGTATGTGGCCTCTATAACAGAATCTTGGGGTGGCCCATCTCTGTACTTCTGTCTTGCAATGCTCCTAGTGGGCTAAAGCTATACAGAGTGTGAGTTGCCAGGCCTCATTCAGAAAGCTCTGCAGAGATGGGTCTGTGAGTTGAGAGCTCAGGCTGGCTTTTGGAGGCTAGCCCCTCAATACCTTTACAGCAGCATGCACCGGGATAGGGGTGCTGAGGGTGCCAAGGCTCTGCTTCCCCGTGTCTGACTGGTTGCCAGGCTGCGAGGTTGAGTCATTCCTCTCATTTTCTGAGCCAGAAGTAATATCCTGAAACCCAAAGATTCACAGTATTAGTATACAGGGGTCGAAATGGGGTGACATAGAGTCTCTCACATGTAACTCTACTGTTTTAATTCTAGTTTCTTATCGAAGTAAATATCAGACTACTTCCCCCAAGGGAAGGAGACAAACATAATTTGTCAACCAATTGAGAACACTTCTGGGAGAGAAAGGGGGCAATATTAATAATTATTCCAGAGGACAGGTAAAAGACTGACCTGGGCCAGGCAAACTGAGACATCTGGTCACCTGTATAATGGTTACATGTGACAAGGTCCTCCTGTTGGACTTGACAATGGGATTGAAAAAGAAAGGATGAGGGAGGAGTGGGTGTAGAACATCTAAGAATGAAGGACAACAAAGTTACAAGAAAAGGTTGTTTGCCTTGGAGGGAAAGTGTATGTTTCTATGTATTTATATGTATATGTGCATATGTGTATAAGCATGTATGCATATATATGCATATGCATGTATAGGAGTCTTCGTGTCTGTGTATATATGTCTGTGTCTGTGAGTGACTGTGAGTTCATGTGATGTGCATGTGTGTATATCTGTATATGTGCATGCATGTATATGTATGTGCACACATCTATATATGTGTACAAAACATGCAGGTATGTGTTTTTGTGTATATTGTTTATGTAGAGGTGTGTGTATCTGTCTGGGTACATGTAAGTGTATAAAGGCATATATACACCTGTGTGCATATACCAATATGTGGATGTGTATATGTGTATGTGCCTGTCTGTGGTGGAACACCCATGTGTATATCTGCATGCACGTGTCCTGTGTATATATATACCTGTATCTGTGTGGTGTGTATGTAGATACACATGTCATGCACGTATATGTGTGTGAATCTCTATGTGTGTGTATATGTGGGTATGTATGTGTGTCGTGTCACAGAAAACCTTTATGAAAGGCACATTTCTGTGTGCAGAGGACTCTAAAAAAGGAACAGTTATCTTTTCACCCTCTTCTACATTCCAATGTGATTTGACTTGAGAGAGCAGGAGCTGCTTATGATCTCCCCCTGGAGCTTCTAGTCCTTTCTTGATCCCTGGCACCTGTCAAAGGTCTGCAGAATCCTATTTTCTTAGGACCTCAGTGTTCTCGTTTATCAAATGGGCTTGCTGAATGAAACAATGTTTTATTTGCCTGGCTCACTCAGTGCTTTATTCCTTTCTTGCCTGCTCCTAGGGGTAAGCAAAACAGAACTTGTCTTTCCCTTAAACCATCCTTGAATCAGAAGCTGATTCTGTCAAAATAATAAATATAAATGGCCTGATATACTGTTTGATGTTATCAAACAAATTTGGTTGTGAAGACCAGCTGTAGCATGCAGGGGAAGGAAAAGTGTTTTGATGATAGACATTTGCACAATAAAAATGCATGAATATTTTCACTCTGCTTTTTATTTCTCCCCTTTCCCTTCCATTCTGCATTTTGCTCTGATGGAGGTAAGAAGGGAACGGCAACAACTACAGACAGGGGCCATTTTTGAAACCAGGGCTCTGAGTAATAATTATTATAATAACTATAAGAAAGTGAAAATCAAAATCAACAAAAAACTATGAACCAGAGACACTTTTTGGGGGGTGGGGTGCGGGAGGGGAGGGATTGGGGTCAGAATGGGGGGTTGCAATTGTATGGGGAATATAAAAATAAAATTTATTATTTAAAAAAATAAAAAAATAAAGTGTTTCATTGACAAATAACTGTCCCTGACACCTGATTGGAGCTTCATGGTTTAAGAAATGTTTTCACATATATTTGATTTCAGACCACCCAACAATTCCTGTGAAGCCAGGAGGAGGAAATTCTTTCTGAGGGTCCCTCTAGAGCAGGGAGAGGGTAGAAGACACACCTCATGGCCACAGTGGTGCAGCTCCTTCCCCCTATTGCATCGACACCCACACTTCTTCTCTCAGGGGTTCTGTGAACCCCATTGTGTGAGGCTGAGGATATCCTCCTCCTGCCTGTGTGTGGCTTCTAGAAGTGAATATGCAGGAGTGGTGGTGGTGGGGTCTCTGCAGCCTTCATGGATATGACACACCTACTCATCCTCACAAGCCTGTGCTCCCCCTCTGTCAGGAACACATCAGCAATACCTGCCAGGAGGGACTGGGAGGGCCGACAGAAAACGCTCTGACGGCCTAGCTGTCCCCGGCATAGCCTGAGTGCTTAATACATGGCAGTAGCTGTTGCTAATAATCACTATGGTTCTCTATATAAGTGCTTTGGACACTATTTTTAATATGCATCCCTCATGTTTTGAGAGTTTGTGGACTGATCCAGAAAGAGGTGAGTGTTGTGCTCGGGTGGGGGCTGAGGTGGACCTTGCAGTGGCTGGGCAGGTAGAAACTAGTTCAAGGTAGAACCCGTGTGGATGTCTCTGCCGTTTGGCCAGGGGGCACCCCCTTCTCCCCTCTCTCAGGGTGTGGGGAGACTCTGGGCCTTGAAATTAGCTCCACTGCGGTCCTTTCTATCAGGAAGATTGTGGGTGAGTCATCTAATCTCAGTGACACTCGTTGCCTTGTCTGTAAAAATGGAGATAAAATGTATCACCTTAGCAGAATAGATGCTTAAAAAAAGCCAAAGCGAACATTCCTGGGAACTATCTCCCATGCTTTCTGGAGACTCCTGCTCCTAAACACAGATCGCTGGACCCAACAGGGATCTATTCAGATGTGCCACCCAGTCAGACCTCTGGGATCTCTAAATAAAATCATGGGGGCAGTGTTGACTTTGTGAAGAGATGACAGTCTGAGATGTGGTTTGTTTACCTGGATTGTCCCCAGGGGACCTGCGAGAGGGGTGTCTGTAGCTTTAGTGTCTTGGGGGGATGCCGCTGAGCCCTGGGGGTCTTCGTTTCTAGTCTGATCTGGAGAAAGCCCGTCACTGCTGTCCTCTTCAAAGGCAAATGCATCCGCTGACTTGGAGAAGCTCACCTGGTTACCTGGGGAGTGAAGTCCAGGCACTGGTCAATGATGTGGGCACAGCAAAGAGCTTTTAGCAATGTGGCCACGTGTTACCCCATCAGAAGCACTCGTCTGCCGCCCTAGGTCAGTTTCCAGTTCACATAAGAGTGAAGATAAATATTAAATTATTTGGTTTCTCACATATTTACTCCATATGGGAACGTGCATTTATGCATGTGGTGTGTTGATCAGGGAAGGAGTGACATAGTAAAAGTCTATTGTCATTTGTTAAGCTTTATTTGCAGGTTTATCTATTCCTTTGTCTTTCCTGGGTGAACCCATATCTTTTTTGAAATGAAGTCAGGGAAGATGAAGGAAATAAAAGGGCTGTTGGATCCAAAATGAGGCCCAAGAAAAACACAGCAGGGGAATGCCCCATCTCCCCAGGTTTTACGACAAGGGATATAATCGACTTGACAGCTTGCCATTTGCACCATGTTCAAATATAAAGCAGGGCACACAGCACAAAATGTTTAACAAACTTTGCTAATAAGGATAAGCTAGGGCAGCTACTAAGTTTAAATTCCTAAATGTCAGAATTAGCTAATGTCACCAGAGTGTCCCTAAGCCTCATTCAACTAATGCATATCTGTTTATAAAAGTCATAAATGTGTCTCAGAGACTTCAGCATGCTTTTTATTTTATTATTATTTGGATTTTCTCTTTATTCCCCATATCTTTGTGTCTATTTTGGAAATCCTCAATGCCTCACACATGCAGATATTGTGCCTCAGCAGCCAGTATGGCCTTTGGAGGGGAACAGATACACTAGCTGGGGGAGAGGGGTTATCAGACCAGATGGAACCATAATGACATCCTTATATGTCCCTTGTTTTTTAATGGCCAAATTTCATCTGGTTTATTATCCAACTGCACGGTACAAAATGTGCTGAGGCCACATAGCTCTCCTGACCCGATTCCAGGCACGGCTCTTTGAAAGGAATTTAGGTATTATCAGGAAGTTTTCCAGCCCGCTATTCTGCAATCACACTTGACAAGAACTTTTGCCTCCTGCTTTGTGCAGATAAGGGAAAGGACCTTTCACCGTGGCGATTGGAAAGGCAGTGAGGAGCTGGAAGTAATGGAACAAATGTGGCTTTGGGCTTGTCATCGCTGCCACTGCTGGCATCTGTCACGGACCCTCACTCAGACATCCAGTGTCAAATCAGGAAAGAGGCCAGACAAGGACAGAGTGGTAGAAACTTCAGGCACTGACCCACTGGGCATCCTGCTAACCTGGAAGGGCCAGGGAACCAGCATTTCTGCTCCATGGCTTCAAGGATCATTGATAAAAAGTTGTTATTGCTTTTCTGTAATTAGAAAAGCCATATATACTTAAAAGATCCATACCTTACAAAAAGTCTAATGTGCATACTAATCACACTTCCTGCTAATGGTTTGCTGCCTCTTTTAGATTTAGTTCTAGGCACACAGCACATTTGAAAAAAAAAAATATATATATATATATACACACACACACACACATTTGAAAAGAATTTCATACAGATCAGACTGGGTGAAATACACTGTGAGGTACACTTGCTTTTTCTCACTCTACAATGTTTCTTGGAGGTCTTTTCATTGGAACACAGAGAGATCGTTCTCAATTAAAATATTTTTTTTGTTAACAGCTATACAGTATTCCATTGTACTTATAAGAACTTTAATTTTTCAGCTTTTATTTTCTAAGATGCGCTTTTTAAACTATAAAAATTTGAAGTAGAAAAGTATAGAGAATAATATAAAACATCTGTTCATATATTACCCCAAATAAATAAAAGCTAGCATTTTCTGATGTTTGTGTCAGAAATCTATTCATTTTTAATAGAAGAATTTCAGTGGATATTTGAAAAATGTCCACTTTCTTTTCAGACCAGAGCTCACACTTCTCCCCACTCAGTATTCTACCTCCAACACCTCCCTATGTGAAGAGCCCAGAATTTGCTCACACCATTCCCTTCTCTTTCTTACATCAAATCCTGGGCCCTAAAAACAAACCTCTATTTGTCATTTTCATGCAATGTGCAAGAATTTGTATATCACCGTTTTTTTCTCCAGGAGATCATTGGCTCATTATCTCCCCAGGTAAGGCCTTCCAGTTGCCTCCACAAATAATCTTACATTGAAAATTCAACATTTGTTTCCTTTAGAAGTCATGTTTTCCTTAAAATTTTAAGACCTACCTCCATTTGTGGAATGGAAGTGTTGTATCTATTGAAAGGACTAGGTGTATTACTGAGGGTCAGATGGGCATGGAAGTGAGGTGGATGGGTAGGTGCTGAGTCTTTACCACCCCAGAAATCTCAGCATTTCCTTGGGATCTGCGTAGCATGTACCCTGACCCAACACCATTACTTTTCTCAGAGAACCCTGTAAGGGGCTGTGCTAGCCTCTTGGGGAAGCCAGTCTTCTCTGCTCAACAGGGCCCTCCAGCTAAGAGGTGCTGTATTCCCTCACCCCACTCCTTCTCATTCCATCTCCTCCCCCACACCCAACACATATAATATCACATCTCAAACGTGTACCTATTAGAGGGAATTACCAAATCACAAAGTTGTCTAAGTAGCTGGACACATGAGCAAAAATGTTATAGGAAGTGGGGAGAGAGAATTGTGTCTCATCCCCCAACAACCCCACTTGAATAGTGTAAAGGGAGTGATAGTCAATGACAAAAGCAAAACTTGTATAAATAGCTCACTTAATAAGGGACCAGGAAAATGAATAACTAGAAGAAAGTGAAAATCAAAATCAACAAAAAACTATGAACCAAAGACACTCTATGGGGGGTAGGGTGCGGGAGGGGAGGGATTGGGGTCAAAATAAGGGGGTTGCAATTGTATGGGGAATATAAAAATAAAATTTATTTAAAAAAAAACAAAAAACAAATGGTACTGCTTATTTATTTTTGAGCTCCAAATTGTTCATTGCTAGTATATAAAATTACAAATTTACTTTTGCAATATAATTAACATGTAATTCTAAAATGAGATATAAATAACATTAGTTTCAGGTCTACCACATAATGATTCAATATATAAGCATATATTGCAAAATGATCACAATAAATCTAGTTAATATTCATTACCACAAAAAAAAATAGCTCACTTAAGAGCAGTAGCTGTAACAAGAAAATTCACCTTTTGCTGGGCTTTATAATGGGCAAGTCAGTCACAACAGGGGGCCCATTTTCTCAGCTCTGTTTTGTAGGTGAGGACTTTGCAAGGTCCAGTCCACCCAGTTATTTGGGGATTTGGCTGAGAATGGCGGGTAGAGCAGCCTTGGAATGGCTAGTGTCTCTTCTTTTTCTGCACACACTAAGGACATCTCCGAATTCCATGACAGTTTTGATTTCAGATTTTGGGATTGGAGGGGCTGAATGTGACATCCTGACTGCGAGAATAAAGAAGCAGGTGATTGAGGGAAGGGTAATCAGGGTGATTTCATTGGGCCTCATCACAGAGAAGGGTGGAAAGGACTGCAGAAGCCATGTTGTAACTAATCAACATGCTCTTTCCACTTGGACATGTGGCATTTGGTGACCTCAGGTTGAGGAACTAGAATGATGTGAAAAAGTCTAGAAGTAGAGCATCTGGAATAAAGGAGTAGGTCATCAGCCCATTCTCCCCAGCACTGAATATAGCCTTCCTCAGCTATTTTGCTCACTGCTTTTACACATCATATGAGCAGCAGAGACTAGCTGAAGCAGAATCAGAGAGGAAGTGGTGACGGGGTCGAGAGCCAAGAGCAGGAGTGATCAATATTTCTCTGTAGGACACATAGAATCTGTCCAGGACTAGACTGACTGGTGAGTGCTGTTGGTGGTTAGACAAAGGGACAGCTGTGGAGAGCTGTCCAAGAAGAGGAAGAGGTAGGGTTGAATTGAGCCTGAAATGAAGATCAGCTGAGAGAGACAGAGAGCTTTTGACAATAATGGGAAAAGTAGAAGGGAAGTAATAGATTAGCAGAGATGGGGTGGGAAGGGGCGAGAGAAATTCTCCCAACTAGGAGAACGTATTATTTGGGGAGCCAATCCCTGAAGATATGAACCTTCAAAGAATCTATGTTATCAACCAATATCAATCATTTAAATCAATTAAAAAAGCCAAGTCATTATGCACTGAGGTTCTAGAATCTGATGGACTTGTTTTATCCTTGGTTCTAACTTTTGAGTGGGAGTGTGACTGTTGGCAAGTTTTTAAGCTTCATGACCTCAGTTTCCCCATCTCCTAAATGGGAATAACCACAATAGCTCCCTCCCAGGATTTTCAAGATGAAAAACATAAGCATAGCAGCCTGCCCCTGATGCATACGTGTTCAATAATTTCTAGCTGTTGCTAGGATTGTTTGTGTTAGAAGTAGCTGCTTATCTCAAGTTTGCCATTATCAAAAATAAAAAAGACCACCCAGGAGGGAAGTTTTATCCTGCGGTCAGCTTTGCAAAAATCAGCACAACTCAGAGCTAGGAAAATGGGTTTGTCTAGAGGTTCATTCTGAAAAAGTCTAGAAGTAGAGCATCTGGAATGGATGCTGTCATGGAATTCGGAGATGTCCTTAGTGTGTGCAGAAAAAGAAGAGACACTAGCCATTCCAAGGCTGCTCTCCCCGCCATTCTCAGCCCAATCCCCAAATAACTGTGTGGACTGGATCTTGCAAAGTCCTCACCTACAAAACAGAAAGCAAAGACAGACCTTCCCCAGAGCAGACGTGTCACTGGAAAGGCTCTGTGTTACTCCCTGGTTCAAGCCTGGCTCATGTGGAGAGGTACAAAGGTCACCTTATCTGCCTGCCTCAAGAACAACCCAGCCTATCGGCTCTGTGTGGTGACCCTGGGCCTCTGCTCCAATCTCCCACGGCGCGAGGCTCCCTGGGAGCTGTTGGAGTGCAGTGTGCTGGCTATTGTCCCTGTAGACCCGTCAGGCGTGTGATGACAAGGACCTGCTTTGGGAAGTCCTGACATCATCCTCTGGCTATGCCCACA